TGAAAACGTAACACGTGACAACCGCAAACCGCAGAAATTAAATACGCGAAACAAATATGTATTCAATTGTTTGAACTAAATGAATTGTGACAAGCAATATTTTTATTAATTTACGCTATGATTCCGGAACTGGTTTGAATGTAAGATCAGGTATTAAGTGACCTCGGTAGTCGGTTGACAGTTGACATAAACCTCTTACTAAGTAAAGAATGTATAATTCTATTAATTATAATTTGCGTGAAACATAATAATTAATATTAAATTGATAACGTAATTATATATTTTAATAATGTTATATTTTATCACACTACAAATAATATAAGAATTCACTATAATGATATGACTCTTAACGTAACTTAACTTCTCTCTATGTAATATTTATTTTAAGACAAATTTGCACGCCATGATGTGTGGCAGGTAAATATGCAAACTTTAGATTGTACCACCATAACATTTTTGCACCATATATTTGCAAATAAATTATTATTATTATAAGAATACAGGTTTCCAATTAATTATGATAACACATTTTCCAATTAAGGCATAAATACACTCATAAATAATAAAGTAAAATCAATGGCGCTACAACCTTTGAGTTCCGGACCTAATATTTATTTGTCTGTTTCTAATAGGCAAGTAGTTTTTGGGTCCGCTTTTATTTCATCGTACAATAGAGTGTTAAAATGCGCATAGAAAGTCTATTGGTAGCCGGGGTTCGAACCTACGACCTCAGGGATGTTGCACGCTGAAGCCTTTTATTTGAAAATATTCAATGTCCAAACATAAAGCGTTGTAAGAGAATGCTCAAGTTTTATAAGCCATTATCATCTTTATCGGGGCCACCTCTCTCGGGCCCTACAAAACTGGTACATTGTATCTTCCAAAAGCAAAAGCTAACTTCAATATAAAGCTTTTCCGCCCAATTTTGCTGAAGTCGTAAAGACACGCAATAAAATCTCAATAGTTAGGCCAGTGTTCAGATTTCATCTGAACATTGACCAACTGCTGACACATGGCTTTTCCATACTTTATTACTAATAATAATAAAGTGTACAGGCGCTAATTAAAGATTTAAGTTGGCTTGGCGCCTGGTAGATAGTACCGGTGACCCCAGAGCTGGTGCTTTCCTCGCTCAACGAATAAGTATCGCAATACAGCGAGGAAATGCTGCTTGCGCTAAAGGTACACAGCCACAGGGACCAATCTTTTAAAATTTGTTTTTGTTCTTTGTATCAATGTTAAATTATTATTACTATGTAGGTTAAGAAAATAAGAAATACTATATATTTGACTGTTATGATTACTAATAGAGGTGTTACTTAGAATTAGGGATGCATCCGATACCGATGCCGATACCGATATATCGGCGATACTTTGGGTTTGCCGATATATCGGCATCGGCGATATTTTCATTGCCGATTCACCGATACTTTTCAAATATCACGCTTTAAAAAATAATGTAAACGCGCATTTTGTATGATCTAGTTTGTTGCAAACGAAACACGGACTATTGTTGCCCGAGAAATCCCCGCGTTTTATTCAGTTTGTTGTCTCTATCATTCGCTTGGGGACAAAGCATTATTATTTATGTATATATTATGTATTTCATTTCGCTAAACACTATTTATTTATTAACACTTTGTTGCATTACAATATAAAAATTGAACATAATTAAATGAAAAGGAGGGAAAAAATACATATTACATATAAACTGAAAAAAGTCTACATGGAAAATAAAAAAATGCACATGAATCACGATAATTTACGATCAGTCTGACGTCAGTTAGTTAGTACAAAAAACTCTTGTTGGATTGATTAGTAGACCAAAATTTTTACTCGAGTCAACTATCTTTGCCAGCGCATAGTTATTAGATATTATGGCTTGCGGGAGATCATTGAGACTTTATTGAACGTAGTTTTGAAGATTATTTAGTTGGCTTTTAACTGCTATCGCGAGTAGTATTTTTTCGATACCAAATTTATAAAATACTGAATTACAACAATGTTATCATTGTTAATTTTAATTATTAACAGTTATTTATTTTATTTTAATTTAATTATTACTCTTAATTCTTAATTTTAGTAACAAAACTATTCAAATTATTTAAAGTTTGTGACTATTTATTGTATATATTTATATTTTTTGAATAAAAATTATAAACTTTAACTTAACTTGATATATTTTACCTTAATTTAATTTTAATTCAATAATCGTTGGTATCGGTATCGGTATCGACGATATTCCTATAAGTGTATCGGCGAAAAAGCGTATCGATGCGTCCCTACTTAGAATACACTTCATTTTTTTTGTACAACGTATTTAAAATCTAGATAAAAGTTTCAATACGTTTTGTTCAGATGAATAAATCTGTGCGATAAAAAAGTGTGATATATAAAATAACAAGTTAATAATGTTATATAATTTTCAGGTATTACAACAAATTGCTCAGTTATTGAAGATAATATTCCGTTGTTTCCCTTTATTGAACTCGTAAAATTATATGAGCTAAGTTATTGTTTGGGGAGAGCTAAGTGCCTTTGTTTTTCCATTTTCCAATAACATTATTTTTAAGGCGTAGAATCATAACTATGAACGGTATGGGCTCACTGTGAAATTGGACAAAAACGGATATTTTATTAGATTTTTCAAAACTTCTCATTTAACTCGGCCTAGTGGCAGCGTGCGACTCTCATCCTTGAGGTTATAGGTTCACTTGCCTATTAGATTGAGAAATGATCATGAAACAGGTACACAAATCTGAGGCTCAGATCTAGAGGTTGTGGCGCCACCGGGCGTATTGACTTTTAGTGGCTGCCTATTTCACAGATGTGCCTCCATGTGAGTAAACTCGTTGGTGAAACCCTAAGTTTTTTTTCATTAAATCTAGGTGGTTCAAGATTTGGGTCGCCAATATTAGTTTCTGATCTTAGTTAGATAAACTAGGTGTTTTTTTCTGTTATTAAGAAACCCTAAGTATTTTTTTTAATAAATCTTATTTCCGTTTGTTACATTTAATGAAAAAATTGACTTACCGATTAGTGCTTTTTAGTCTGTTAATTTTTTTAATTAATTTATTTTACAGAATGTAACTATAGCAGTCTTGTTAAGGAAAGCGTATAAGAGTAAAAACATACTTTTTATATTGTTTAGGCTATCTAATAACTGACCGGGAAGTATATTAGCCGCGGTAGCAAATACCTCAAAGTTTTCTCACCATAGAGCCGAACTTGCGTTATTGCTCGGGGATCTATGACATGCTTAACTCGGTTTTTTGTCATTAAAAAAAAAAGTTGAATTTTTCATTAAATTTGGCCGGATCAGTTAGTTTTTGATATTTCTCGATTAGATATTGGTCTGTCACTTCAATAATTATCTACTACTAGCTTCACAGGGATTCATACTTTTTTATCATTGAAAGTTTTTATTTGGTGTTTTGGTAAATAAAAAACAAACTTACAAAAACATCGAACTCTATATTTCAAATTCTAGAAACAACATCAAGTAACGATCGGCTTAATACAAAAACATGCAATGTGCTAAGTTCGAAGTGTTGATAAATAGAAAATAGAATTACAAAAAAGTCGAATTAATTTATCAACACTTTCACAAAAATCATTTACGGGAATTAAAAAAAATCTTAAATATACGATATGTCTCATACAATAAATATTTTCGTAAATAAACTCTTTTGTACGAAATGTTTAAGGAAAATATAAGTTTTTTTAGGATGTAATATAATTTAATGTACTGTAATTAAAGCTAACAATCAATTTAAAGCTTATTGACTTAACTTTTAAACTAAAAACATTAAACATTATTTGTTACAAATTTGTCAGGAAGGGTTCAAGTAATAATTTTAAATTCGATTTATTTTCGTGAGATTGTAGCAATATTCGAAACACGTCATGTGATACACAAGTATCATTATCAACAGTTTTAAAATAGTTTCTGTTCGGGTATGACAAACCCAGGACAGATAAGAATCGTAAATTCATTTTACATCTAAAACAGTGATAATTAAATGGAGTTGATTAGAAAAATCTGATTATACTCGCGTAAACAAGTCATACAATTATTGTTTCACAACAAAAAGTTCTTACAAAAGCTTTTGATAACGTTACTAACTTCAACGCTGTTCTTGAGCCTCTAGGCAATAAATACAATACCTAAAACATGTAACAATTACACATGAAAATGATGATACTAAAAGCAACATCAATTCACATGTACTAAATGTACAAAATCTAGTCTAAAGTAGCAAAATTGGACGTGGAACTAACGATCGAATGGACCTCCGTAATACAACAAATATTGTCCAAAATTGTGCATATTCGTTCAAATACTTACGTATTTTTATCACACAAATTATATGCTCTGGCTAAAGTAAAACAGAGCATTGGTTTTACCATTATTCTTATATTTACACCTTAAATGCATTAATATAGAAAAACATCGATTTTTATGTATATGAAAAACACGTATTCCTCTACATAATTTCTTTAAGATTAAGTATACGTTATATTTATTTTATGCTTTTATCAAATTTTGGGAGCGTAGAGCGAATCCTTTCTATTTCATAAATTATACCAAATGTATCAGTCCTTTCAACCAAATCACTATTTTTATTATGTATTAAAACCTTAATTTAAATACTTAAAATTGGCCGTATTTGGTATAATTTATCTTGCCTCTATCGAACCGTATGTCATTTGCATATCACAGTCTCACGCTCTAACCCTGGGGGTTATCGACATTGCACCTTCGCTTATTATTAAAATTAACCGAACTCTGTTCCAATAATCTAGAAACGCCTATTTCCCATTATAAAAAATTTAGCACTCATCACGTTAGGAGTTCCACAAGGCTTAACGTTAGGCCCGAAATCTGTTCTTGTGTTTATGATTGGCAAATTGCTCAATTTCATGTTTCGTCTGAAGGATGGAAGGGCAGTGGTCGCCTAGCAGTCATGCGGCCACCTTGAAGGGTGGCCGGCTACGGATCACATGACACAGCAACTCTTCGCCCGCCCCTTTAGTTCAGCCTTCAGGTCCCGTTTGCTTTTGCTGCGTCCGACTTGCTTCTGGCGACAAACAAACACTATAAAATTATCTGCATATAATTATTTAAGCATACTATTAAATTATGTACACTGAATTAATTTAAATAATATTTTACGAATTGTTGTACTCATAACACTGTTTTAATCTCAGCGGTTTAGAGGATTATGTAACATAAAGCACCTCGGAAATAATTTGTGAATTTAATTTGTTAAATTTTAGCCTTAGGAACAATTATTTCATATTGAAAATAAAAATATATAACAATAGTCACCTGTTGTTTAATTTGTTGTTTGTTAAGTTTTCCTAAAGCCGCTAGTGCTGCTACTTCGAATGCATCTTTTACGCCCTTACTGGAAGCTCTCGCTGATGTTTCCACGTACGTTGTGGCACCAAGCTGTCTAGCAACTGATAAGGCCTGTAAAGATACGAAATAACATGTAGTCATTATATATAAACAATATATACTGGTTTTGAAATTGGCTTTATATTTAAACAGGGATTTAAAAAAAAATACTTTAATGTTATAATGATACATTCACATCTAATCATCAAACCAGTGGCGCTTTCTGTATCTTTTTCGTTTGATGCTTTGTTTTTTCTAATAGACAAGGAGGAGCCTTCTGTCCCTGACAAACGCCGTCGACTTCTTTTTTCTTATTTTGTTTCGTTACGATAGACAGTCTATGACAGTCACATTCTGAAGCCACGGCCAACCTGTCTATAATCTTCTTCTATGTACAGATAAATTACAACTAATCTAAATTACATTTAGGTTAAAGTCCAAAAAGACCTTGAGTAGACTTAAAATCTACACAAAGGATTGGCCCTAGCTATAGGCGTATTTATGCCACAGAAATAATATTTCACCACTTATAAAATATAAGTGTGCGATTTGAATGATACATTAAGTAAGTCAGTACGTCTGACCACAACAGTTCATGTTTCATTGTTACCTATAAATACTTATTATAGTTTTAATGTAACGAAATCTTTTTGCCCTAGTTATTTCTATTTCAGCAATGCAAAATCCTACAATCAACTGGTATATACGAAATAGGGCAATATAAACTCCATGTAACGACATCGAATATCAAATGTGTACTAGAAATAATTGGATGGACATTGGGAATTACTGTTTACGACGGATTCTCACATAAACTTGATGGATGTGAGACGTACTATGTCCGAAATTGGATTGGAAGTTTTAAACTAAGTTAGCGCGCTGAATTGAATGCGTAACGGGGTAAAAGCTTTCAGATATGCCGCGTTTATTGGTTTTTGCTATTAAATGTTTGTTTTTATTTTATTTTCGGCTCTCAAACATTAAACATGTTGAGGACAATCAGATACTTATGAAAATACGTTATAGAATGAATATACACGAAACGAGACGAAAGAAGGCGCAGCGCTATCCAGATCCATGCAACTTCCTCACAATCGAGTAGCCCGAAATATCTCACACAACTCACGAGGGGACTCTTTGTATTGAAGAAGTCGCATGGGCCAAGCAAATAAGTACACACAGCAAGGTTTCTAAGACTAGGCAAAAGGCCCACTGAGAAATTTTTCATCACAGTTTCATTGTATATCCGATCTGTCAGGACCATCAAACGATGAGCACATACGCGAGACGGGCGTTTGATAAACTAAGTCCAAATAGCGCCGCGCCACTGGTTCCATGATCTTTAGGCAAATTTTTCAATCTTATGAGTCTGATTAATGATAATTGTGACGGATATAGTAATATAACTATGACAGCGCAGCCATGGTTCGAACACAGAACGAATCACGCTAACTGTGAGAGCTTCTTCTTTTAAGCAGTATTTAATATAATTTATCTCTAAACGAGAATTCTATTCATTTTAAATGGATTATTTCAAACTCAAAATACTTTATTCATATAGGTAACCAAGTACACTTATGAACGTCAACTGAAAAGATGTTATATTGATTCTAAATTTACATTTACTCATTTTGACGACTCATTGGTCTAGTGGTTAGTACCCCTGACTGCGAATCCATGGGTCTCGGGTTCGATCCCCGGCTGAGACGAACATCGATGTGATGAGCATTTGGTGTTGTGCTTAGGTCTTGGGCGTTTAAATATGTATTTATATGTCTAACTATCTATAATATGTATGTATATCCGTTGCCTAGTACCCATAACACAAGCTTCACCAGCTTAGCATGGGACTAGGTCAATTGGTGTGAATAGTCTTTAAAAAAAATTACTACCAGTTCGCGTCAAGGGCGTATAACGGGCAAGAAGAACTGGCAAGAAACTGTCCGACACTCTTTTTTATCGCTTGTTTTGAGTTAATTTACTTTAAAGTGTAATAATTAATCATGAGGTATTGGGAATAATATTGATTTTGTAAATTGGAAATAATGTAAGCGTAAAGCAGTATTGCCAAAGAATGTCTCGAGATATCTTTTAAATAACCTTGATTGATCTGTGATGTTTTATTCATTGATAATGGCAGTTTGGACTGTTCTTAATATATCTAGGTTACTTTTATCAATATAACATTGAACTCAAATATACGTTATTTATTTTTATATTATACGAATATAATTAGCGACTATATTATGGTATTTTATTTATTTAAAAATCCGTTACATTACAAATAAAAACAAATAACATTAATTATTAGGACTACAACGGCGTTATCGATAACAAGGAAAATAACTAAAAAGAAATACTAAGGCTAAAGTGCAAAAAGTGCATAACCAAATTAAAGGCCTAAATAAAGGCCGGCAACGCACACGCGATCCCTTTGGAATTGAGTGTCCATGGGCGGTATCACTTAACATCAGGAGATGGGCGCGTTTTTTGTGATTTTTTGTATGTGTGGGGCAAACGGGCAGGAGGCACATCTGATGTTATACCGCCGCCCACGGACACTAACACTGCCAGAAGGCTCGAAAGTAAAAAAGTTGCCGGCCTTTAATTTCTTGAAAATTGCAGAATTAAGAGAACGTCATTCATACCTCTTCGCTAGTGACCGGATGCGTTCTAAGTTTGGACAGCATGGTTAAGGTCTCCTTGTCATGTCTCAGGTCAGCCTTGCAGCCGCAGAGGAGCACCGGAGCTGATCCACCATGTGTGCGGACTTCGCGGTACCACTGAAATTGGATGTTGTATGATATAGCAGGGCTAAGTAGTTGCGAATTAAAATTAATGCTTCTAAATTTACATTTACTCCCAGTTCTCAAATCAAGGACTTAGAACGGACGAGAAAATGAATAAACTCTCCGATAGTCGTTTAAATCGCCAAGGTTTTTTACAAAGTGTTTCTAACACTTTTTAAAAAACCTTTATATATTAAAGATATTATTGCAATTAAATAAAAAATAATGAAAAAAATAAAAAGAAATCACCTATCAGCAAGGAACTATGAAATAGGACCATGTTCTTACATTACTGTGGGAACCATACGCAAACACGTAGTATCCAGGAATTAAAGCAGAAAGTAATTAAAACGACTTGTAGGTTTGACGGTAACTGTTTCTTAAATCATTAATGAAATAGACCCAAAATGGGTCTGTCCCATGCAATTGAAGAATTTTGCAAAAAGCTCTTCACAATTCACCTTCGTAAACGTGTAGAAATTAATTTGACGATATTTCTGACAAATTAAATGCAATTTTTTGTTTAATCTAAAATATAATTCTCGTGTCACAATGTTTGTTCCCATACTCCTCCGAAACGGCTCGACCGATTCTTATGAAATTTATGCATATTCAGTAAGTCTGAGAATCGGCTACTATCTATCTTTCAAACCATTAAGTGATCCATACCAAATTTTTTATTTTTTGGATAATTTTATTTTATTTTTTTATTATATGGTATTAAAAAATACAACCCTAAATAAACCCTCTACGATCAACCCCTATTTTTTAGTATAGTAGATAGTCTTTTCATTTAAAATGTTTCCGAGAAATAATGCATGGCAAAACAACGTTTGCCGGGGCAGCTAGTAGAAATGTAAAAAAGAATACCTTTGCAGCGGCGTTATTTAGAGACTCTGGTTCAGCAATGTTGAAACATAACATAAATATTTTAGCGTCTTGATAAGCGAGCGGCCTCACTGTGTCGTATGCCGTTGTTCCTGAAACAAAAAAAAAATATTAAAAAGATTGCCGAAACCAGGGATCGAACCAGGGACCTTTAGATCTTCAGTCTAACGCTCTCCCAACTGAGCTATTTCGGCGATGTGTTATGTGTCGAAATTATGTTATGCAACTACAGTCAAATTCTTTTATAACGACATCAAAGGAACTACTCGTATTTGGTCGTAAAAATTGATAACCGATGACGTTGTATTAAGTACCTAATACTTTTATTATTTATTATTATTTATGTTGTTCTAAACGATGTCGTCTTAGACTGTATTGAAAATTGAGGGGGTTTATTCTTTTTACGCGCCTTCTCTCATAATTTAAACATAATAATTTAAAGAGAGTTTTGAGTCGGATTCAGCTGCCGTTGTTTTCTTTTTACAAAGGATTTCAATTCCGTTCCGTTTCATTTGTATCATAATACCTTTGGCCAATGTCCAATTCGATGCAGCAAAATATCACCCTTTAGCTAGCCTGTATTGACAATATATTTTTGCGCTTCCAATTTCTCACGTAGTTTAGCAACGAAGAATAGATTTATATTTTGGTTATGCTGTATTTATGAACTGCAGTCGACCATGCTGATCGACTACAGTTCATAAGGTTCTAGGTTCGATTCCCGGGTGGGGATGAAAATTTAACGCGATATTTTTTTTTAATGTTAGCCCTAAGTTTGGAAGTCATCTAAGCGCGTAAAGACAAGCTGCTCTCGTGGTATTATAGTTGTGTCGGACACCCGTCCCATCGTAGCATGCACTTTTTTATGGGACACCTGCAACATCTTGCAGGTGTGTTGCCGACCTTTGATAGATATAGATGTTGACCTTTTCCACCTTACCAAAGAGGAAATAATTTAGTTTTTTCTTTTAAATATTAACATAGACATAGTTTATTCGTTTAGTATTAAGTTGTCGTTTGTTTAATGATTAATTTCAGTTTTCTTTTCTATCTAATAATGTAGGTACATAATTGACTTATGCTTACTGTTTCCTATATTTTGTTCAACTATGTAATCTGTTTTGGCTTTGTATATTGTCTAAGTGTTTTCTTTTATAATATCTATATGTGTAGCTGTAAGGTTACTTATATTATATCTAATAAATAAATTAGTAAACACTAGCATCTCCTGCGTATGGCCGCAAAGCTCGCCGTGGCCACCGCCTATAGAACATTATATATGAACACACTGATGTTATTTAGAGTCACGTATCGTGGTTTGATTAAGTGTTAACACAAATAATCGACGATATTGCAATTATTGAAAATCACTGACCTTATTGATATAACAATGCATTATGTATTTGACAGTTTTATCGCCATTTTCCGTTTAATATCTGTTGTTAATTTGAATTGTTCGCGTTTGTATGGTATATTGATTGTTCACGCTATGAATAATATTGTTTGTGTGTGTGGTTCGATATTGGCGAAATAAAAGGTTGGTAATAATCTAAAGACAAAGCTTTTTAAAATGATTTGGTATTTCGCGAAAATAATAAAAAGTTGTACACGAATAACATTTACACAATGAAACTCGTAAAGACGAACGGAGTAAAGTTGAATGTCTAACTTTAAACCTTCCACAGATTAGGATAGCATAGATATCATTTGTTATTTTGCACAGACTATACAGAGATTAAAATAAAAAACATAATAAAGTTTAGAAATACTGTTACTTCTAGTAAAATATTGAAATGGGAATGGACAGGACTCATTATGAGAGAAGACAAAGAAGCGTCGAAAAAAGCGACGTCATGGCTTCCTCGCTATGACAAAAGAAAACGAGGAAGTCAAATAAAAAGATGGGAAGATGATATATAAGTAGAGGAGCTGGCCCTTTGTGGCTACGTAAAGCTAATGTCTAACTTTAAACCTTCCACAGATTAGGATAGCATAGATATCATTTGTTATTTTGCACAGACTATACAGAGATTAAATAAAAAAACATAATAAAGTTTAGAAATGCTGTTACTTCTAGTAAAATATTGAAATGGGAATGGACAGGACTCATTATGAGAGAAGACAAAGAAGCATCCAAAAAGCGACGGAATGGCTTCCTCGCTACGACAAAAGAAAACGAGGAAGTCAAATAAAAAGATGGGAAGATGATATATAAGTAGAGGAGCTGGCCCTTTGTGGCTACGTAAAGCTAATGTCTAACTTTAAACCTTCCACAGATTAGGATAGCATAGATATCATTTGTTATTTTGCACAGACTATACAGAGATTTAAAAAAACATAATAAAGTTTAGAAATACTGTTACTTCTAGTAAAATATTGAAATGGGAATGGACAGGACTCATTATGAGAGAAGACAAAGAAGCATCCAAAAAAGCGACGGAATGGCTTCCTCGCTACGACAAAAGAAAACGAGGAAGTCAAATAAAAAGATGGGAAGATGATATATAAGTAGAGGAGCTGGCCCTTTGTGGCTACGTAAAGCTAATGTCTAACTTTAAACCTTCCACAGATTAGGATAGCATAGATATCATTTGTTATTTTTCACAGACTATACAGAGATTAAATAAAAAAACATAATAAAGTTTAGAAATGCTGTTACTTCTAGTAAAATATTGAAATGGGAATGGACAGGACTCATTATGAGAGAAGACAAAGCGTCGAAAAAAGCGACGTCATGGCTTCCTCGCTATGACAAAAGAAAACGAGGAAGTCAAATAAAAAGATGGGAAGATGATATATAAGTAGAGGAGCTGGCCCTTTGTGGCTACGTAAAGCTAGACACCTCATGGAGGAGGCCTATGTCTAATATAAAATATTGAAGTAATTTAAGATAAAATTATTTGTTGCTTTTTAAATTGTCGTCTTTATCGTTATTGCTTTTTTTATGGCTCTGGCACGGTTTGTGCATTAGCCAGCGTCAAGTATAAGATTTTTATAATTCGTGTTTGCCTTAGAACTTCGACCGTGTTCTCCATGTACGGTTTAGGCACTCGCCCGGTACCGTACAACCCTCCCAAAGGCCGAGAACAATTTTTTTAAATTAAATTAAAAGTTGCCCTCGAACCGGGAATCCAACCCGGTACCCCTCACCTAGCTGCCACTTAATAAGACCGCTAGGCTATGAGGCTACTTTGTTATTGCTTTAAGCTGGACTTCAAAATGTCTTAAAATATTTTGTCTTATCTATGTCAAGTTATTTTTTTGTGAATCTACAGAAGTCAATACAAATAAATTTTAAAAATGAAAATATTTTTAGAATGAATATTATTTATATTATAATTAGAATGAAAATAATTTTAATAAGTTATTTATACTCAATAACTGCTGAACAGTTTTGATAAAACTTGGACTCTTCCCTAATTGGGAATATACATTCTCAAAATCATATGTCAATAAAGTCATAGCTTTTAATGTAGTGGATAAACAAACAAATTGAAATTCAGCTATGTATTATTATTTATTATTCTCATTACACCATTGATTCCATCAAACGTTGACAGTGACAGTTAGATAATCTATGGATAAAAGAACTAACCTGACGTATCCCATACAGAGAAATTAACTCTATAGTCAGCTACTGTGCAAGTGTATCCATATTTTTCAAAGCCGGTTGGTGTGTACGCCTGTAACAAGATAAACATATTATAGACACTTGTTAAATATTCTAAATAATTCAGAGGTTTTAAATTAAGGCAATTGTCAAATGCGCATATTTGGAAATTCCATACCCAAACTGATTCCATTGTGGAAATTGTCAACAGGCAACGCCAAATCACTAGGTGGGGGGCCTCATAGCCTAGTGGTCTTATTAAGTGGCAGCTAGGTGAGGGGTACCGGGTTCGATTCCCGGTTCGAGGGCAAGTTTTAATTTAATTTAAATTTGTTCTCGGCCTTTGGGAGGGTTGTGCGGTACCGGGCGAGTGCTTAAACCGTACATGGAGGACACGGTCGAATTTCTAAAGACAAAGCACGAATTATAAAAAAAATCTATACTTGACGCTGGCTAATGCACAAATCGTGCCAGAGCCATTAATAAAAAAAATAAATAAAAAAAATCACTAGGTAGTTGTGCAGATATCAAATTTAACTGTCATCTCAGCTGTTTTGGAGATATCGAAAATCTAATTTACCACTGTAAATATCCGTCACTGTATCTACTACGTACAGTTAGGTATAAACAAAATAGTTACATAATAAAACATTAACAACACATACAACCTTTTTCTGCAATCATAAGTCGCAGGTGCCTAACTTAACAGAGATCCTGAAACAACTGAACCCTTTGAATGACGAAAAAGTAATCGGAAAATGCTATGTATCCGTCGTCTAATAGAGTTTCTATTTTATCCCATTTAAATTACACGCGCTTATTTTATTTCTTTTATTAATCGTTTTTTACAATACAGGGGGCAAACGGGCAGGAGGCTCACCTGATGTTATACCGCCGCCCATTGCCACTTTTACGAATTGGAACGCTCTTTTCTTGACTACTACTAAGTCGAATTGGTTCGGAATTTCAGTCGACAGCTGAATTCACAATGCGCAGCAATAACTGCCTTAAACAACTCTCAGTTGTGGAACGACAGACGTCGAGGTGATACGGGTGGAATCTGCCGCGACGTCCGATGATGAAACTCGGCTGCAGGTATCAGAACAACTCCTCTGATCTCCTTGGTAAATGCGGTAATGCAGAGAGAGAGACCCTACATCTCTACGCAACGCCAAGGGTTCAAGGCGCTCGGAAAGGGATTGGTCGTCTATGGTTCGAACCGCTCTTCGTTGAATACGGTCAATTGGAAGGAGCTGGTACTGGGGAGCTCCCGCCCAGAGGTGAGAAAATAGTGTTAATAAGCCAAAAATAAAAACCACTCTTGTATGGCTTTCAGTTATCAGTGCTGTTGTAAAAGCGCAAAGTAAGACTGTCAAAAACCTTTGGCCACGCCTTTGGTAATTGATAACTTGACTATCATTGCCTCTTGGGCAGCCGGATATAGGTATCAGAGACTGTGAATCTACTGGTTTATACCGTAATCTACTGTTATAATGCTACCAAAATGTATTGTAACGACTTCTCAATTTAGCCGTATTTCCACTTCAAATTTACTTTTGAAAGGATACATAAAAGAGTTTTATACTGGCTTCATTCTGAATATCCAGGATGGGACTTTGATTTTATGAGATCGGAGTTTCGTAATACTAAAATGGAGCAGACATGTTTCATTGACAAAAAAGTCTGCCTTATAAATTACATCTCCGTAATAGGAAACGTTAAGAAATTATGAATATTTGTAACATTATACCAGTCGTTGCGTGTACCAATAAATTTCTATATAAAAAGTATTTCCATATTTAAATGATGGCTATAGACAAAATAAACGATTCTTGAAATGGCAACTATTTTATATTAGGCATAAGTCAAGGATCTGTCGGTCAATCGGAACGAGGAATAGAGTAAATTGTTGCCATGGTAACGTTGATTTGTATAAAAATAACAGTAACCATGTTGCTTTAGTCTTTATTTTATTTCCAATAATTAATTAGCTCCAATTCGCAGGATGCAATCAAATGGCGTTAACAAAATGTCAAATGGTTGTAAAATCTCGAATTTCGAATAAAAATTCGAGCGCCATTTTTTGTTCCCGCCTTTAATTGGCAGTTCGGCGCCGAAAATTTGTGAATGGCCTGTGTACCTTTTCTCAGAATATCTATTCAATGAATGTAAAATGACGTTGAAAATGTTTTCATTGGCTTTTGAATTTATTTTGTACGATGAATTGAATATTTTATTTAAAATATTCAGAAACTTATACTTTATATACTCAATCTAAAATATAATTATTGTGAATTATTCAAATAAGTACGTTTCTTTCATAACTGCACCCACATCCCGTATGGTCTAGTGGCTTGAATACCTGGCTTTTCTAGTGGGTGAAAGGCAGTTACCATACCATACGGGTTCGATTCTCGATCCCGGACATCTTTTTTTTTTACAAAACGTTTTGATGTTTGAAAACTCCGCATTTAAGCATAATTTGGTGAGTTTTATAAATAATTTTTAGCTAATATTGTTTTTCATTATTTAATTAAGGAAAAAATGTAACAGGAATTTTACGGCCCACCGTCTATTTTTTGATGCCTCACAAAATATCTTAACTATTTCGAAGGACAGGAAATTCTCACGCTCCACTTGTAAAACGAAAACAGGTACATCATTTTTTGTTCGACATTTCTTGCTAACACAAAAAGCCACACTTGTGAAACCACACCCAACACACAAAAACTCTTTAGCGGAATTCTATGAAAAACAGTTCATTATAATATAATGACAAAACGTTATGATTTCTTATATTATATTATTTTTTTTTAAATATATAATATGGGGGCAAACGAGCTTGCGGGACGACCAAAAAGGGCAGGCTACGCAGCCCATAGACACCCATTTTTAGTGGGTGCGTTGCCGGCCTTTGAGGGAGGAGTAGACTCGCTTTTTAAACATTTGGAGGTCGTATCTCTGAGGGAGTCGATTCCACAGTTCGCTAGATCGCAAAAGAAAATGCCTTGTGAAACGGACTGTGGAAGCCTCCAACCATCAAGATGATGTTGGTGAAATTTAGAGGTCGTACGGCTCGTACGGTGTTGAAAAGAGGCAGGAGGGATCAACCCAAACAATTCTTCCGAACACTCTCCGTAGTAAACTTTGTAAAAAACGCAAAGAGACGCAATGTCTCTGCGTAGCGAGAGAGAATCAAGCCGATCAGTAAGACATTGGAGATTGACAATTCGACAAGCCCTTCGCTGAATTTGGTCAAAAGGAAGAAGCTGGTATTTGGGAGCACCGGCCCAGATATGCGAGCAGTATTCCATATGAGGTCGTACTTGAGCTTTGTAGAGCTGCATACGTTGCACTTCAGTGAAATACTGCTTAGCCCTACCCAAAACACCCAGATTGATTTGATTTGATTATAGGCCAACACTGCTCTTAGTTTTATAAGCGTGGCGATTACCTAAATCGTCGGAGTTGGAGTTACGCCACGAGGGTATAGCCAGATACAAGCACTCTCTTTAGCATTATAAGCATAACATAACATTTAATTAATTAGCATTTATGTCTTGTTGTACGTGAGTGATTAATATAGTTATCCAAGAACCGTACAAAGCTAATAATTAGATTCAAAGGATCACATATGTCAAAATACATACTGAGTCATACAAGTTTTGACTTACTGTAAGCCTTCTATTAAGATTTTTTGAAATGAAACTTTTTTAGGCGCATGAGGGTAAATTTTTTAAAAACGTCACAAGATGTGCAGCGTTTTTGTCGAATTTATTTTAATAAAGTTGTGCTATATAATCTTGTGGTGCAATTATTCATACTTGAACGAGGTGTTTTTAATACATATGAATATCATTATTATTTTATTAAGTAACTAAATTACCATTTTTTTGTTTTGTATTTTATAAGGGCACAAAACCAAGACTTTTTTTGCTGACCCAGTTGGATATTTAAGATTATAAGGACAAAGTTAGCAATTATGATAAAAATGAATTTGTTATATTATTTGGTAATTGTTACCATATTTATGTTGGTATTTCTATATACATAACAACAACTAACTTTAGTTCTGAAAATACTATGTTACTTAAGAAGAGTTATTACTTTTTGGCCATTCTTTCGATTAGCTTCATAAAAGTAGGGTTTTTTTTTTACATTTGAGTCGGTTCGATTCCCAGACGAGGCAAGTAATATTTAAATCTTTGAAAGCAGAATTACTTACTTTTAAAAATAACACAAATCTTCTTTCAGTAAAATACCCTATCTACGATATTTAAGGTACCTACCTACTTTCCCTTTATGTCCCATTACTTTGGGACGCCCTGTATAGAGCGAGTTAATTAGCCCTGTATAAGCGGGTTAATTATGTATATGAAAAATACAAGAGACACCAGAAGAGTGAAAAACATTGGTTCCAACGTTCCTCTAGATCTCTATCTATTATTAACGATGCTTTAAGGACATGCTAGTCTGTTCCTTTTTCCGATAGTCTTGAGTTCAAGAGCAAGATGCTGCAGCCATTATTCCAGCAATGTTAATTATTATAAAAAATATTATTTGTGCCGTTTTTTCTGATTTTGTGAAGTGTCTATATATCGTGCAGAATTTTTATTAATGTACATTGTACATGCATGTTCTGTATTTATAATGTAATATTTTCTATCATTAATAAATTAATTTATTTATCTCCAAATACGTTATGATACTAGATTAATTAATGGCAATAATTGCGTTCTTAATTCATTTATTAATCATTATAAAATGGTTTTTAACACTTGCTAGGTATATATTACACAAAAAAACAGCATCGCAACAATCGTGACTCGGTCAATTGTGAAGATCGCAAATTTAGATTGTTAAATGTCAAAATTTGAACTGTCGAATTCAAAGATATTATATAAAGCGTCGATCTGTCTGATTATCGATCTATCGACCGGTTAATGAAAAGTATTTTATGAGAGATTGAAATATCAATCTCTCGTAGTAAACATTGGATTGGGATTGAGGATAGAAAGCGTCAGTTATCTGTTAGCTAAATAAACGAACGTTAAATTCACACACAATCAATCATGTTTTAGCAATACCATAGGACTTCTATAAGTCTTGTAAAATGAAAAATTGTAAAGAACATAACATAAAAAACAATGAATAAATTCTCTATTCTCCATAACATTCGCTAGATACCTCTAT